AACTTAATGAAAGGAAAAGGAGACATGGAGTCTGAAATCCACATTAGAATTGTTTCAAATAAAAGAGACGTGAGGAGAAAGAACTGCTTTGGGGAAAATAAGAGCCTAGGGTTGCAGCAAGACAATGTCCAGAAGGCCATTGGAAACTTCTAGGGCTGGAGCTTAGCGGTGAGTTCAGACTAAAGATAACGTTTTAGGAATTGTCTATAGAGAGATAATAGTTGGAATCGACCTCTAAATATTCTCAAATCTATCAACTTCTCCTTTGAACTCCCCTGCTGTCACCTTGTTCAAGTATCATCTCCTGTCACCCGCACTATTAAAATAGTCCCCAGTCAAAAGTAGGAACCCCTGTGTGGGGTATCTCCACAGCATCCTGGTTTTTCCTCCCAGGCCTTATTCCAATATGTAATTCAGGCTTGTGTAATTCTGAGGATGGTATAGTTATCTGTTTTGCCTACCCCTGAAGATCCAGCAACTTCCATGGTGCCGGGCAGAGACTAGACACTCAAGTGTTTTTTCCAACAAAAGAGTAAGTGAGTATCAGTACTGAAGCAGAGAAAGAAAAGAGTTGAAGAAAGAACTCTGATGAACATCTTTAGGCCACAGGAGGAAAGAGTGGGAAAGACAAGTAGGCAAAGAACCAAGAGAAGGGCAAGAAACAGCTGAGGTTGAGTGGAGATTCTAGGACTGTCAGCCGTGATTGATTCTACAGGGGGACAGATCAGTAAGAACAGCCAACATGTATTGGGTGCCTTCTCTGTGCCAGTTATGTCCTATGACTTGCTGTGGATTAATTCAGTCTTCACACTAACTCTGTGAGGTAGGTGTCCCTATTATCCCTATTGTCCAGATGAGTAACGAGGCCCAAAGAGGTTATGTACTTTGCTCAAGGACAGACAAGTGGGGGAGCCATGAGTCAAACCAAGCCACCTGCCCCAGAGCCTGGAGTCTTACCCACCCAGCTCCTGCGAGCAGCAGGACAGAAAACGGTGCCCCGGGGGAAGGAGTATGGCAGAGAGCGGAAAAGGGAAAGGAGGACCCGCTACTCTTTATGACCTTAGGCCATGAAGAGAGAGGACGGCTGTGTCAATCATTCTGTTAGAACATCACCTACGTTAAGTCTCTGAACCTACAGAAACTGTATGTGACTAGAGCATTCCTGATGCATCACTGGCCATGAGAGCCTGGAGAATATGCTTCTGTTTCAGGAACAGATCGTTTTGATCACGTCTTTAGGATATTATACCAGCTGCCTTCACATTGACTTTTCTTTTTACTACATTCCAATGTTGTTATTGACTTAAAATAGTCCTTGAGAAAGACAAAAATCTGGCTTTGACAATAAAAAGCATTGTGGTATCCAACTTGCTTTCAGTTTTACACAGTCGATGAAGTTTCTGCTTTCATTTTTTTAAACTGAGGAAACAGAGTCTTGCCCACGCTGGAAAAGCACCTTAATTTGCATTGCAACCTGTGTTTTGCATCACAAATGCCCAGATACAGAATCTACCAGCGACAGCTCGGTTAGGCAGACACGCTGGGGGGACATGTGTGCCTGAGTGACAGACTGGACTGATTGGCAGCTGTCTTATTGCAGAATGTTGCATACCCTCAAAGCTCACAATGTTGAGATTTTGGCAGAGTCATAGATTCCTTTAATTAAGTAGCTGGAAGGATGTGAATAACATCAATGTGAATAATTGATGCCAACCTGCAATGCTCGTAACTAAAGTCTCTTCCCTGAATTTTTCATTACAGAAGTTTTAAAATTTGACTTAAAATATACGCATCTTTTTCTTCTTTAACTTTTTTTTTTGGGGGGGGGTGCCTAGCCCAAAATCTAACTCGTGTCCTTTTCACACAGTTGGATTGGAATTGATCATTTTTAAGGTTTTCATTCTGAAAGGAGGAGCTTTGCATCCTAAAGGCAATTTGGCACTGTTCAGGGATGCTGACAATCCAATTTAGGAGTAGAGAGAAAATGAATCTCTTTTAAAATTTATTTGTAGCTTTTTCTTAGTTAATCTCAGAGTTTTGCTTTCTTTTTTTAAAATAAACCAGAACAAACATCCGATCACTTAAAGCACTGGGAGAACATCAATAGCTGCAGTTGGAGCACAGCCTAATTTTGTATCACTCATAAAATGTGCATGTTCTCTTTGGCCTGTCCTTGGGCAGAAAAGAAACTTCAAGTACAAACCAAGCAGTTCAGGTGGAACATTGCATTAAAAATATAAGAAAAATTATTTTCTAAAGAAAGCTTTTTGACAAGAGGAATTAATTTGTGGGTGCTCTGCAGAAGAAAATGAAATAAATATGATAGTATCAGGAGTGCCTTTCAATCTTTAACACTCTTCACTGTACCACTCCTGTGCCTGTTAGGAACACTCACCATGTTGTCACTAGGTCTGATTAGAATTTGCTTTGAAGCCATTATACCTCTTTGAGGGAACACTTACCAGTGGGTAGTTTGGGCTGTTAGAGCACAAAGCTATGATTTTTGTGCATTAAAAAGAAGACTGTTCCCTTAGACAGATCATCAGGCCATCATTTTATAGCCCCTTGATCAGAATTGCTGTGTTGTCAGCTGACCTTTTCCCATTGAACATTCACACAATACTATTGGGCATCCATCAACCCAAAGCTTTTAAGGGAATCAGGATTCACCAAAAGGGTACTGGTAAGCAGCTAGAAATGCAGTCATGTTTTTGTTGGATTTTGATGAATTTTTTATTTCAGAAGTATAACTCCAGGGGTGTTTATTTCAAGCTGATACCTATAATCTCTCATGCTGGTGTGAGCAATGAGTCACCATGACCTAGAATTATGATGATAATAGCTATAGATTAATCGAGCTCTGTCTTTGTGCCAGGAATTTTTCTATTTTCTAGGTACTTTACCTGCATTACCATATTTAATTTTCACAAGCACCCCATGCAGGAGGTAATATCATTGTCACCATTTACAGGGGAAGGAACGGACGCAGGGAGGTGATGTAATCTGCCTAAGGTCACAGAGTCTATGCTCTTTATCCTGCGTGTCCGTATCCTACCGTCTAGGAAGGGATGTGCTAGACTGATAAATGTGACAGGAGAATTGGCACCTGCAGTTGGTGATCCCTGTGCAGGTTTATGGAGCTCTTGAGTGGACACAGCTCCCAAGCTGTTCATTTAGTATGGTTGAGAAAAAGGCCAAGATCCCTTTGCACTTGTTTCTGTCTGAGGCATCCAGTCTCTATTAGTGTTCTCTTTTAAGAGGCTGGGTTCTTGGCAGCCCAGATGCAAAGCTGTCCTGTCTTCTTCCTCGGCACTGTGCTCCTTTATGGAGGGGTGAGGCACTCATGGCCTATCTGCCCTCTGATGCCGAGGTGTTGGGTCAGCAGTGGAAGCTGTTCCCATCACCCTGCCTTCCCCCTCCAATCTTGGAGTCACTCCTCCTTAGGTTAGGGAAGCTGGATCCACATCACTATCAGGATACTCTCTTGTCTCTTGGGTTAGAAAATTCCATGAGCTAAGCCTCTTAAGTAATAAGGCTCTCCTTTCAGCTCTTGCCTGCCTCCTTTCCAAAAATATCAACTTAATGTCTGAGAGATGAGGGATGAACACTCTGGAATAATAGATACTCATTTGCAGCCCATTGTCAGTTTTCCTCATTGACCACAAAGATGTGTGGCCCAGGGATAACCTTATGTCTCCAAGGCCTTTGTTCACAGAGCCTGCTGTCAAATGGCCCATGAAGTGCAGCCACAGGAATGTGAATCCTCGGGCCTGACCTCTCCTTATAGTATCATAAATGTCTGATCAAAAAGCAGTTGAGCTGAGGGAAAATGGGAAGTGTAAGAAATTCTGGGTACTCAGCCCCTAGTGAAACAAGTACCTATAGCCTCTGATCCTCAGAGGCATTTCCTAACGAGGGTACAGTGACATCTTACAGCATTTGTTCAGAGACAGCTGTCTGCCACTCAGGATTGTCTTACTCTCTGGGCTGTTTTGCTTTCCTGAGCAGCTTTGTGTGAGAAATGGCATGCGTTAGGAAATCTGTTGTGGAGAAGAATCATATACAAACTACTAGAAAAGGAGCTTTATCATAGAGGGAACTGCCCCATTTTCAGGTGCTCCTCTGAAACTGTCTTCCTCGGTGAGGAAGGTCCTGGGTGCGGGAGCCTCACCTGCGCTCGAAAGCCGGGCTCACGGCCTCTTACCTGGACCTTGCTGCTTATCACTTTCCTCTCAGAACATCACTGTCTCTTTGGCGGCTTCCAACTACTTTCAATTCCTTCTTTTCCCCACTGTTCTCCAAGTGGATAATTAAGCAGTGAGTCCTGTTCTTTGCTGAGATCATGACTTTAGAAAGACTTGCTACAGAACCACTGGCAGCTTTGAAAGGCGAGCTTTGAAAAGACCACAACTCCAGCAAGATGAAGATTTTGAGAGCAGAATCCAGAAAACCCGTTCCATCTGAGTCCTCACGCTGAGGAGGCCACAAGTCGCAGGAACCACTGGCGTTTGGGTTCTCTGTCCTAGTGCTTAAGAGTACGGGTGCTGGAGTTGACTTCCTGGGTTCAAACCCCACCAATGCCACTTCCGAGCTGTGTGGCATTGAACAGATTACCTCTGTGTCTCAATTTTTTCACCTGTAAAATAGAGACAATAATAGTACGTAGCTCAAAGAGTTGTGAGGATTGAACCCAAGTAAACCGCTTAGTACCTGGCACGTGGAAAGTGTTCAATAAATGCTATTAGAGTAACATTCATGGGAAAGATGTGCTTGCTTTAGATTTGCATAAAAATACTATCTTGGGGCCATTATAATCATCCTTACTGCACATGACCTAATAATACCTCAAATGTTTCTATTTTGATTTTTCCTCCATCAGCCACCCCTTGGGAGGGACTCAGGGGCTGTGTGGCTACATATCTCGAGCTCTCTGGTTCTGCATAGATGAGACTTACAAGCCATTGGAGCTGACCGGCCTCCTGGTTCTTTTTCTCACTCAGGTGTTGGAAAGCTTCAAGATTATGGACTATAGCCTTTTGCTGGGAATCCACATCTTAGACCATTGCCTCAAAGAGAAAGAAGAGGAGCCCTCACAAAATGTGCCTGATGCCAAGCGGCCTGCGATGCAGAAGGTTCTCTACTCAACAGCAATGGAATCTATCCAGGGTCCAGGGAAATCCGGGGACGGGATGATCACAGAGAACCCAGACACGTAAGTGCAGCCACCGCCCACAGACCCTCCTGGCTGGGGCAGCCCACAGCACCGAGGGATTAAATGCAGTCATGCTCCTTTCACGGTGGCTGTTTGGGAATAGATTCCTATTTGATGCTAAAATGAATTAAGCCTGGCTTCTTTTCTTTTCTTTTCTTT